GCAATAATTTGCGGAAAAACCGTCTCCACTTTTTCTGTGAGTATATAATGAATATTGCAAATAAAAAAACTATAATTATTTGATTGGATGGTATGTAGTCGTTGAACGGAATAGTCGACATTAAATGAAAACAATTTTTTTTTCGAAAAATGATTCAACACCAAATGAGTGTGCAAAAACAGCGAATATTTAAAAAAAAGTTAAATTGCCCACCTGCCAATCTTCTTTCACACTAATCGTCCATAAACAATCTAATGGAATTATAGCTGACTCGTTGACCTGCCTAAGAATTGTTTCATTTATATCCTCTATTGATATTTTTCCTGAATCTGCATTATTTTTCAAGATTGAACACTCTTCAATTGCATCTTTTTATTACATCATTTAAAATCGAATAACATGGAACAAAAAAGGAAACTTAATAATATGTGTAACTACTATTACTAGTATATATTTTGATTGTTAATATATCGGTAGAGTTTTCTAATCTCTGGAAACTAATTTGGCCGTGAAATTACGCCTGGTAATGGTTGATTACACTAAATTGTTCCTTGCGTATTGTCTGGAGCCATCATTTAGCACCCAAAACCAACCAAACCAACGCCCATTCATCCATCAATTTCTATCCAATCGATGATTTTTTCTGTGTATTTACCTATTTTCTTTGAACGTGGTATAAATTCATATACGGCTTCGAAACCTTCATACTCAATATTATCGTCCGAACGGAAACGCAACCACAAATATCTATCACTTGAGATTATTTCATCTGGAAACTTAGTACCACAATATTTTCCTTTAAGTGTCGAGAATCCATATTTACCGTCCCGTATCTATTGTTAAAATAATAATAATAATGTTTTTTTTTATATGATAGAATCCACATTTGAATGAAACATAAATTGAATTACAAAAAGAGATGAGATTAAACATTGAGTTTTACCTCCAAATAATCATATTCGCATGTTGGTGACGGTTCAATGTTGAATCTATTTCGAAACTCAAGCTTTACTATGTAGCCAGGATCGGCTATTTGGGAGACAAATAATCACATACAAACGTGTTAATTCTTAGAAATAAAAATGATTTGAGATATAACTATAAACAGCAAATAATGGATTTGAAAAAGCACAATTTATATTTTTTTTATCTGACGTACAAGAAATCAACTGTATAATTTGTACGTCTTTTATTTCAATCGAAGAGCGAAAGATTTGGAGGGCTTGAGTGAAAAACGATTAACGGGTTCAGTTGACTTTTTGCAAATGATTGCTTAAATTAAGGTATATATAAATGTGTTAAAATTATAGATACTTAATAATACCACTTTACTAGAGAAGTTCTAGTGGCTAGAAAGATATTTTCAATGAAAATTTTTCATAGCTAGACACACCATTGACAAATGGTTTCGTGTAGGAGCACCACAAATGATGATGATGGTGACGTTTTAAAATAGCGTTTTAACAAAAGCTATTGCTTCTGTTCTATACAGTTAACTACGATTCAATGTTGTATATGATTAAAAGAAATTAGTAAAAAATATCAATTCAAATAAAAATTTAGAAAATGTGTTGTAAATATTATTTACATGAATTTACATTTAAAAAAAAAGTATTTCAATTAGGCGAGTATTTATGGTCGTACTCTGTGTGACATATTAAAGTATGAATCAGTACGCGTACGTCATTTGGATTCGTAGTGCTCTCTGTGCACCGCTTATCGTTAGCGTACGTAAACAATTATGTTAAACAGTGGCGTTGGTCGGTTTTGGAGAGGGAGCGTGTTAATTTTTTTTTCGTCAAAAACCCTAGCAAATCGAAAGAAAATTCTATCCAAAAGCCCATTCTAGTTATCTAGTGTAACTTCCATTTCATTTGTGAAAAATTAAAGAGCATAAGATGTTTTCAATTTTCAAACCTCCCAAACGTATTGAGTAATTTTTTAAAGAATATTTGGGAGAAAATAACATAGATCGTTGTGATGTAGATACCTGGAGACAAAGTTCGAAAAATAAACTGGACGCCAAAACCCCCCTACTTTACGTCACTGATGTATATGAACTGTCGTTCAGTTTTGAATATATTTTTTGTGTGTGTATGTAGTCGTAAAATACTGTGTCAACCATGTGTGTGTGCAACAAAGAAATGGGTTTCAGCACAGACACTCAAATAGAAATCTAGCGCCATATAGATTATGGATTAAATGTAGGATAAAATCGGATGATCACCGAAATTAACTGATCAACAGAAACCAGAAAGATAAGAATTCTTATCTGTAGGCCCTATGCTCCACTATGAGTTAAGGGAAAAAAAAAACAACAACATATGAATGCCTGAGAAAAATCATGACTCAAATATTTTTAATTTGAAGAATGAAACATAAGGAAAGAATGAATGAAATTTGGAGAAAAAGAAATCAATAATTGAAACGTAAAAAAATACCACATGGATATTTATTTTGTTTCACTCTTGCGTGTTTAAATTTTATGATTCAAATTTGCCTACATTCGGGTTATTTTTTTATGTTTCAGTGGATTTTTTTCTTATGAATCGATCTTTGTGAGTTGTTTTATAAAGTTTCACTCTTTGTAATGATGCACATTTTTCTTTGTTTCATTTTTGAAAATTAGAAATAATTTGAATCATGATTTTTCTCAACCATTCATTTAAGTTTCTCAACCATTTTTAACCCTCCTGCAGAGATAATGGGTCTATCAGGTCCAGCAGCTAAGCTGACAATTTATAAAGTACCGTTATTCGACCAAAACCAAAATTATACTTCAAACAGACAGTGTACCATACAAAATGTATGGAGTCCCGTATACACAGAGAAACTTTTCGAAGAAATTCGTATACTTTTCTGTTTGTCATTTCCAATGGTTTTATATGAATTCAAAAGGGTCTCTTAGCAATTGTATGACACTTTAGTAAGAAAGTAGTTCCAACTATTTACCAATAGATGGCGACACATAAAATAGCAACTTCGAAACAAATACGCATTTCCTATACTTATCGTAAAAAATGTAATAAAAAATCGCGTGCCGAGAAAAATAGTAACAATAATTATTATACACTGGGTATAATACACAAATATTAATTTTTTCTCAGCACGCGATTTTTTATTACATTTTTTACGATAAGTACAGTAGATTGCCAAATGTCGACACACGACCAAATGTCGGAATACCGATAGGTGAATTGAAATTAAAAATCGAAAATTCGTTTTAATTGCATTTTTAAAAACAAATTATGAATGATCAATATCAAATCTATATATAATAATCCAAATATTCATCAAAAATCTATTCCTGCTTTCAAAAATTACGTTCAAAAAAAAATTCTATATTTTTATCACTTTTTTACGTCAAAAGTTAAACTATATCATTTTTAGACGAGCCGGTAAAATGCATTTTTTGGTATGAAAAAATAACTACTTTGAAAAAAAAATTATATCTGCGAATTGTAGATACTTTAATTTAGTTATTGAACAGAAATATTGAAAATATAAAGAAAAGCAATTATATTTATGTTCCATTTTTCACTGTAATATTATTCCGGAATAAATAATCCAATTGCCGACACATAAAGCCGCATAAAGCGCCGAACATTTCAAGTGAAATACTTTTGATTTGACAGATGTGACAGTTATGTATGTATTTGGATCATTGTGAAATTCAAACCAAATCAGTGGAAAAACACAATATTTTAAAATATTTTTGCCATTTTACTATGGGAAAATAAATAAAATTAAATATTTGGAATTTTCGATGTTACGACGAAAAAATGGAAAAAAATAATACATTTTTGGAAAATATTTCTTTTGAGAAATGTGAAATGGAGCACAATTAAATTCTGCATCGAAGTACAGTACACATGTCGGAGAGGTGAATTGAAATTAAAAGTTAAAAATTCATTTTAATTGCATTTTTAAAAGTAAATTATGAAAGATCAATATCAAATCTCTTTATTATAATCCAAATTTTAATCAAAAATCTATTATTGCTTTCACAAATTACGTTCAAAAAAATTCGGTATTTTTATCACTTCTTCACGTCAAAAGTTAAACTATGTCATTTTGAGACAAGCCGGTAAAATGCATTTTTTTATATGAAGAAATAACTAATTTGGAAAAAATATATGTCTGCGAATTGTAGATACTTTAATTTAGTTATTGAACAGAAATATTGAAAATATAAAGAAAAACAATTATATTTATTTTTCATTTTTCACTGTAATATTATTCCGTAATAAATCGTCCAATTGCCGACACATTAAGCACTGAAGTTTCAAGTGAAACACTTTGCATTTGACAGATGTGACAGTTAAAGTCGTATTTGTATCATTGTGAAATTCAACCAAAAATATTATAGATCAGTGAAATCACGGGCGTAGCGAGCGAAATTTTTTTGTAGATTTCAAACAGAAAAATTAAATTTAATGTTAAAACAAATGATATAAGTAAAAAACACTTCTTTGGAAGTTCTCACTGTGACGCTATACTGCACATCAAATCTGAAAATGATCTGATATAAATTTTCAGTGACGCTTGCAATCAAATACACAAACAATTTTTATATTGTGTTGCCTCTTGGGCATTATCACAATGAAATTTTCATTTTTAATTTTCTAAGAATGAGAGAGGCAACGCAATATAAAAATTGTTTGTGTATTTGATTGCAAGCGTCACTGAAAATTTATATCAGATCATTTTCAGATTTGATGTGCAGTATACAATATATTGCATCACAGTGAGAACTTCCAAAGAAGTGTTTTTTACTTATAACATAATATTTTTAAATATTTTTGCCATTTTATTGTGAAAAAAATAAATAAAATTAAATATGCAGCAAAAATATATCAATCCAATAATTTCAACTTCGATATTTTGTATTGTTTTCCTCAATGTAAAGAATGCGTTCCTGAGCTGTCAAAACTTAAAGTTTTTTTCGGGATTTGGGAGCCGAGAATTGGACGACGAATATCCGACATATGGAATTTTCGATGTTACGACGGAAAAATGGAAAATAATAATATATTTTTGGAAATTTCTTTCTTTTGACAATTGTGAAATGAAGCACAATTAAATTCTGCATAGAATTGTGTATAGAATGATATTTTTAGATGAAATCAAAAGTTGTTGTGATTTGACAAACCGATTCGAAATAAAATAAAGACTATTCATGAAATGGTTGGAATATGAGAACATTGTGAGGCTTCTGATAGGGATTCTGAAAGTGACATTTGATGTGAGAGAGTTTTAGTCTTTCTTTCCACATTGAACGCTTGAAGAATACACATCAAAGCCAAGTAAAATTTACTGTAAGTATTGTATAAAGAGAAAAACAAGACAAAGAGTAATTATGTTAATTTCTTTGAAATGTTAGTGGTTTTATGTGTAGGTTTTTTGATTAGGTTTTTCGATTAAACAATAAGACGATAAATAATTAAATTCGACACAATATCCAGTGTGAATTATTGTTACAAATAACATCGATATCGAAATACCACAAAGACATCACTACAAAGCAACTTTCACCGAATTCCAAGACATCAAGTCCTGAGCGATTGAGAGCTGAGAATCGGAGGCACACAACTAATTGGGAATCGAATAACGGCACCGGAGAGCTGAAATTGATCGTAAATCGAGTCGACGGCCCGGAACAATTAGCGTAATTCATAACCAATTGTATTAGTGTATTAAGATAGTTGGCCAACGTTCAATGGAAAAAAGCATAATTAAAAGGATTTCATACTAAAAAGATTATTGTGTTCTTATGTAGAAACGTAAATCAAGAGTAGTGAATATTAGAGTAAATACTTTGCCTTTTAATAACGAAATATAAGAAATTAAATTAAATTGATTTTTCTAAGAAGATAAATCGTAACAAAGTGTTAAATATTAAACTGAAGTTGAAAATTCAAACAAATAGTCCGACATTTGGGCGAGTGTCTATATAGGAAATGCGTATCTGTTTCGAAGTTGCTATTTTATGTGTCGCCATCTATTGATAAATAGTCAAATTACAAATTTACTATTATCTAAGAGCTCCTTTTCCAATGTTGCTGGGAGCTTTTGAAAAAAAAAACCATCGAACTCCCACCCCATTTTGATG